TTCAGGAAGGCAACAAGTTCTTCAAGCGCCAACTGGAAGAAGTTTCATGGACCTCGGCAGGGGCTGATTTTTCGTGGCCGTGTTGGGGGGTTGTGGTCACGAAATGATCAGCAACGGGGAATTTTTCGAATAGCAGCCCCCAGGTAAGAAAATTAAAGGCCTGCTGGATAAGTAGAAATCTTTCAAAGCTCTCGGCACAATCCTTTTTATTACGAAAGGCCGCTGTATGAAGACTTGCCATGGCGCTCCAAAGCGTAGCGACTCGCGGTTCGCAAAACATGATGTACAGATGGATCACTAACTGAGGAAAAATCTCTGGAATCGGAACGTTTGGAAATTGCTCAATGCGACATACAGAGCCACACCTAGCCTCTACTTGATTCCCACTTACCCCTCTCCGATAGCCCTTCACCTTTCAACGAAGTTATGGTGTGTTTAATGAGGGGATACTTTTCACGTGTTATGGCTTGAAATGGCTCCAGGCCTATAATAGCGCGCCCATTGAGCTTGGTATGAGCGGACAATAACGAATTATTCAGGTGCGTAGCTCACAAAAGAATTCAGGCGTGAGGTCATGCATTGCAGTTGAGTCGGCCACGACTCGCACCATCATTTGGCACGGCCGTACCTGAAAAGCGGGTCGTAGCCGATTGCGACATATGCTTTTCCGTGCTGTAACAGAAGTGAACTATTTCAGGATATAATCAGCACTGCAGGGAAATAGGACTAAACTATTTTGGGAAAAAGCAGGCTTTTCTTCTGTGTGTGTGTCGGAAAAATTGAAATTCTATTAAGCTGAGAGAGCAAGAAGGGCAGTTTTCGTTCTGCCGTTCAGAAACTAAGGGTTTCACATTTTTTCCTGCGCTATAGTCTAAACTTATTTCGCTGGTAACGGGAGCCCCAATCTTTCTTGTATCGGATGTCTCGAGTGCTGGGGTGGTGAATCAGGCCTCAACTATTGTTGCTAGAAACGTTAAAACCATAAAATGGAACTATTTCAACTATTACTACCCCAAAAGAAACAAAAATTTTTTTGGTGAAACCTCGCCACAGAAGAATAGCTCCAGGTGCCTAATCAGAATATAGCACTCGTTTTTGGGCGCTGGCGCCAATTAACGCAGTTTGGGCGCGCGCCACCTTTTCCACCAAAGTTGGTTGTGAATTTGCCATTGTTATGGGACATTTCTCCAGGTGCCATTTGACACTCTGGTTCTAGCGACTTGACGTGAGAGAAAGGAGGGTTTTCCCTTGAGGTCGGGCCAGGCACCCAGCAGCGCAGACAATCACAGCCGTCTATCCATCAGCGCCGATGCAAAAATGAGTGTGATATATGCAACCATGATGTTAAATGGTCTTCTTATACAAGTTATTCAGACGTAGTGCTTATTTGGCACTGGCCACTGAAATACCCATAGGTCGGCCAAGTGAGGTGTCTATGTTTAGTGTTTCAGGAGAGTGAATTACCTCTAGAATCCAAGTCTACAGCCAAATCTGCCCCACTTGAGAAAAGTTTAAGTTGATTAAGATGCGGACCTGTTCTTGGGAAAATGAGCTTTGTTTTCCAGGTAGAGCCGCGTCGAATAATATTGTGAAGCCATGCAAGCCGCCTCGCAAGTGCATTGCAACCTCAGCGCCTAAATTTCTTCTGTGAGCCACTTGCGCCCCTACTGAAAAATCGTTATTGTGTATGCAGATAAGCGCGCTAGACCGCGACATGCCAAAATTCAGAAGTAGTCCATGGGCTTCACGTTTCAGCTGGCCGTGGTAATTTTTTTCTATATCCATTGTTGTGAATTATTTTGATTGTTTGTTTTTGTTGAGTTTGATTTGTTTTGTTGAGTTTGATTTTGTCTGTGAGGAAAGTTGTCAAGGATTCAATTTCTCACGGTTTCATAGTGCTTTTGCCAATGGTTTCTTTTCTAGATTTCGCGGATTTAGTGGATTGGGATGATCTAGACCAAGATGGGAGGGTTGGTGGGGCGAAGTGTCTTGAAGTCTTTTTTTGCTGAAAACGAGGAAAACCGCTCTTCAGCATATTTTTTTAGTCTTGGCCTAGAATAGTTAATATGCCTAGTCTATTTACTGTCATTCGTATATCGTCCATTTGAGCTTCTTTTCACTTGACCGTTCATCACGCTCTCCCACTCAACAATGGGGGCCATGCGTTTTACGGACCCGTTCCCTCCCGTTGTGATGGACCACAAAGATGGCGTGCCACCTGCCTATCACTGTCTCTTGGAACTGACGTCCTAGCGTCGCTGTGATACGCGCGCTATGAGTCGGGTGACCTCGGCGCTTTCTAAGGACCTTCTCTGGTATCTTATCAGCTGCTTATCAATTGCTGCCACCACCAATAGTGTCTCATCTGATCAGCTCTTGATCACTTTCCTGCCACCTACCATAAGTGGTTCCTGCCCGACTCCTAATCACTTATCGTTGAGCGCACAGTCGCTTTTTAAAGCGAACTTATGGAATTCCGGTCAAACACACATACAGACATACAAAACATACATTCAGACACCCACACACCAACAGACACTTAGCCGGATTATATATAGTAGGATACCACCTTCGTAAGTAACAGCTGTTAAAGTAGTAGGTAGACAAATTTCTAGAGAAGCCAGACCCGGCAACAGGAACGGCGCTCACAGGATTGCAGGACCAGTGAGAAAACTGAGCTTAGCTTCACTCATATACCAACATTGCAACGTTCATTTTTGGCATTCCAGGAATGCGTAGCAAAATAAACGGATTTTTATGACTCTTATAATGCCGACCGCTACAAATGCCACACAACCATTTCTGAAAAGCGTGCGATGACTTTGAATGACCTCAGTTTGTAAGCACTCGCCCTTTATGAAGTCACTTCCAAGGCAAGCATTCGATGGGCGCTTTGGGTCGAGCTTTTAGACTCCCCCTTTTATTGGGCTGGTGCGACCCCTCCCAAAAAACGACCATAATCGACCCCGCCCCCCAAAACGTCCACAAGGCGAGAAAAATTATACTATAAAAATAATTTTTAAATACCAACCTAACCCACCATATGGAATCCGACTCGAACGCTGTGGCCCTGGTCCACTTCGCAGCCTAGCACAAGTTTCGCCCTGACTAAAAAGCTGTTTCGCTGCCAGGCGCCAGCCACCTCTTAATTAGGATGTGATGCGTACCCATATATGCTAAACAGCTAAAGGTCACATCGCGAACATAGGCCGAACAATGACGAGTGTTCTCTGTTTACACTAGAGGGAGACACGCTCTCCCGTCTGTCCTAGATTCAATTGAGGGATGGCGATTCTCCGATCGATGACTTTTTTGCTTTCTCGCACCCCGCGTTCGTCAGGCGCAGACTGTGAACACTGCCTGACCGCGGCGCGCTCCGCTGCGGCGTGACGCGACCGCTGCCGCACAGTCGCGTTGTAAATTATGTAAATACACATCCGGGACCGGTTTTAAAAGATCTGCATCATGGCTTAAATAATCTCCTTAAAAGATTTCTTGGCAGCCTTATCGTGAACATGAACACCTGGAGTTTTCTGTACTTACGCCAACAGCTTTGAGAACATACTTATATTTCAGAACAACACAAAGACTAATAAAAAATTGGAATGTGTTCAAATGACAAAACAACTATATATAAAAGACACACATCGCTCTACGAAAGCGGAAGAGTGGCCAAGTCTTGGCAGAACGGAGTATAGTCCTCCTGTGTTGCTGGATGCCTTTCGGCACAAGTGATATCTCTGAAGCAACCGACACCATAGCCTAAAACATTTAGATATCTGGTAACTGTTACAAAGAGGATCCACACACCTTACGCATACGCTCTATAATAACCACGGGATATATTAATAGATTATCAGTGAGTGGAATGAAAATACTGTGAAAACATGGGCAAAAAAACACCACTCGGTAAGATGATAATATGCGAAAAATCTTGGAAACGCGAGTACGGATCTATAACAGTTGCATCGCTTATTTTGAAAAAAATATTAAACGGTAAAGAAATATAAGGAACACGATTATGGCAGGTGAGCACCAAGGTACACGAAGGAAGGTATCAGCCCATTCGCTGTAGACGCCGGGCTGTCAGGGGGCAGGGGGGGGTCCTAGGCTTGACGCGGCGCCACTATGTTTACCACCATTTATTGCTCATCACAACAATGAGTGGAGAAGGATTTGGCGCCGCGACAGTTCGAGCCGCCAACTCCCTCCCCTTGACGTGCCCCAGCATCTCCAGCGAAAACGACAGGATAAGCTTTCACGAAGAAACAGAGGCATAGAACTTAACAGCCATAGAAGAGCAGCTATTACGTCCCGCTTCCCAAATATGCCTCGAGCAACGTTCAAACTTCGCGACGTCGCAGCGCATTGAGTAACGTGCGTCGACGCGCTACATTTACAACCGCGCTCCAATGCTACCGTACCTCAGTCTCTCCTTACCTGCTCTCTTCTGATATTTGACTTTTCTTTTGATTGTTTTTCATTTCCACTCCACAAAATTCACAATTGCTGCTCCATTCCAAAATCTGGGTTGTTTTTCAGACTTTTTGTGAGGCAGACTCAGTGAAAATTGTGAGTAGGGTTAGTTCAACCTTCTATGGACATTCTAAACAAGCATATCATACTCGCTTGGCAAACCGCCTGGTTGCCGCGCGCGGTGAAGAGAGTAACAGGCGCCGGCGCCAAAATACCGTAAATCATCAAATTCGCTGACAACTCTTCCCCACCGATCAGATGGTCAGCGACTTCGTGCTAAACGAATTTTATAGTCGTGATCAGGGTAAATAAAGAAATAAAGAGATAATGGATTCAAGAATACAGGTGAAGAGAGTTAGAGTGCGGTAGCTATGGAGCGTGGTTGTAACTGTAGCACGTCGACGCCTTTACATCGCTTTACAGCGCACTATGGCGCGTCGACGGGCGACATTTCAAAGTCGAACGCAGCCACTGCTTGGATATGGATTCAAATTGATGCACTCCTGTGGAAGATCTTTATATTCTCAAGGAGTAGCGCTCAGAGCTCGTTGTTTCTTCTGGAGATACGGAACGGCGAACAGCATGAGACCCGATACCTGAAAAAGCAGCCTGCGATATTCGCCTTCCTCGAAAAAAAGAGATTCGACAAACAGCCTTATCTACTTACAAGTAGGTTAGTGCCACTAAAAACAAATGACCAAATATAGCCACCGTTGATATCAGCAAGGAATCCAGCTATTGGTGGTCCAGCTACTGTACCGACCCCCTGAAAACATCTATTTCACGGCATCTGTTGCGGACCTACGCGATCTTGAACATCACCTGCCACAATAATAAAAGGCCAAAAGCGTTGGTAAGCTTATCCAATCCAAGGAGATCCACAAGAATGACACTTGCTAAGCAAATGTACGCCGAGAGAAAGAATCCATGCAGTGCAGCGTAAACTGAGAGTGACATGAATGACGTGAAAAGGAAGCAGAAGATTGTTAGTACACCACAGATCTGTGAGAAAATCAATCTAATCATGCTCACAAGATAAACACTTTTAACCAACAATAGTCCCTGCGAAACCACTGGTCTGTATCGAACAGAAACAAAACCAACCGTGAGTGAAATGTTGTACATCCAGAGCCTATTTCTAACCACGTTGTTACCCCAGCCGTAAGGAAGGGGGAGCTTGTGGTCGGCAATAACACCGTACACAATACGGCCAATACTGTTACTAAGCCCTGAAAAGCTCGCGCTAACAAAAAAAATCAGCGGAAAGCACATGAGAAGGAAAAATCCCTCACCGAAAGCAGATAGCACAGCAGATGAACGAGCAGAATCAAGCCCAACACCTCTTTGGGCATGCAAAGGTAGAAAATATAGTGGCGAATTAAAGCCGACAGAAGACAACATGTTTGAAATAGCAAAAATTAGGAAGACAGGATCGAGTAGGAGCGGCAACATAAACATGTTAGACATTGTCCTGGAAACGAGATTTCGATTTTTTTTAAAAGATGGTAAGGCTGCGTTCATACTGTCGTCAGCGTTTGGAGCGTAGGGCAGCGTTCTGAGCGTTTCAAGCGCTAGAAAAGTGCAGGTATCGATCTAGCGTATGCCGGTGCATGTGAGCGTTTTGCTCCACTAGAGCAGTATAGATATCGATTTAGTGTTTTGAAAATACACCACCGTTTTCAGCGAGTGCCCGCAAAAAGCTGAAAGGTACCCACGAAACGCTCGAGACGCTAGGTCGATATCTATACATTCTTAGTGGCGCGAAACGCCGCCGTATGCTGGCGCACGCTAAATCGACACACATACTTTCTTGGTCCCCCGAAATGCCCAAAACGCTGCCGTACGCAAAACGCCGACGCAAAGTGCAAACGGAGCCAACGGACCACGCTAAGAATAGCTGATTTTACTGCTCACGGAGCAATGTCGCCGTATATGACCGGGGCTTCGATGTTAACTCACTTCCACATATCTGTGCCTTCTACGTTGTCAATGTCTTCTTGCTCATCTTCAAAAACCTCATCAGTTGATTCCTTCATAGCTTGTAATAGATCTGAAGACAGAGTACTGATTGAAGACCTGCGTAGTGATCCAGTCGACCTGAAGAGGTGCTATAGAGCACAACCGCCCTTTAGTCAAACTTCGTTTTGAATTATACTATACCCACCTGTACTTATCAGGATCCTCTCTGAACTCACTGAGGCTCGTAACTGCTCCAGTGTAAAAAATATCTTTTCTGTTAAGGTACCCAACATCTCTTTCTCCTATACTTCCGCTTCGCACGGACCTTCGACTGCATTTACCTGAAAATATAGTTCACTAATGCTATATCCCCAGGAAATATGACAGAGAAATCTGCGAACGGGGCACGTTCCGTCGCTAGGGAAATTTTTAGGAATATACGACCCCCCCCCTCCCAATCCAGAGCTATGACCCCATTGGAAGTGGAAGTGAAACAGTAAAGCCAACTGAAATTTTTTTTTCAAACCAAGTACGACTACTTTCTCCTGGGTAATTCCGAACGTGGGACGTGCCCTGCCTGCAAGTAACAAGCAAATTCTCTTATGATCACTGCTGGCAAGTTCACTTACTGTCCTTTCTTGATGGTGTAAGAGTAGCAAGCGATTTTGAGTCTGCATTTACGTGGCCACATGATGCACGGCGTTCTTCAGGAGTAAGAAGGGAACTGCTAACCTAAACCTCGAAAATACTAAGAGAAAACAATTACCACTTCAAAGATAACCTCAGGAAGGGTATTCAGCTTATTTTCTTCAGGAGCTGCTTGTTCTGGGTACTCTTCCTCACTAACTTCTTCAAATTGCAGTGGTCGGAATAGGGAACCGCAGAGAATGCAGAGCGTGAAGACGCCTGAAGAACTAAGTCTCGATAAATACTTCTCTTATTTAGTTGAGAATACATTCCCAAACTTGAAAAGCAAAAATGCTTCGGTTTCATGCATGGCGAACGTGTAGCTAAGCGACACCCTCACAGACACCCAGCAAGCAAATGCCGGAGCTGGCCTGTTTCTGTTGAAGGATGAGGATAAAGTCTTCGCTGTTAACCAATCCCTTTTTGGGATGTAACACGAACTCTGCTCCCATTCAGAACCTCAGTGGCTTATTCAATGCGATTTGACATACACAATGAATTGCGAGGCCAGCCGATGCACAGGTCAAGGTTCTTATCCTCTTAGACAACTCTGGTACCAGTTTGAAGGCACATCGTTGTTGGGGACTCCCCAGCAGAGGGGGATGGGGGGGGGCGCATTTGGCCCTAGAAGAATTTTTTCCGATAGTTGATTTTTTATCAAGGGAGGGATGAAATTGGGCTGCTGGCCTTTGTGAGAGGTTGTTGATTTTTCGTGTGTTTTCCTGTTTCGTATGTACTATACACCCCCCGGCTTTTTGGTAAAAACAAGGCAAAATTTTTGGATTTTGGTAAAAACTAGGCAAAACGAGGTCATACGGACTCGACCCAAATCCAGAACCACTGCTGGGCCCTGGCCAATTTATCGTTCCTGGAGGGTAGAAGACTTGGATGGTCTGAGCAAGGCCGGTCCGGATCTGACCCCTGACCGTGCGCGTGCCACTTGCCATTACACCACCCCCTGCTTTCATTCGTCTTGTTGTTCTTCTTATTTATTCTTCTTCTCCTCCCTAGCGTTATTCACGCCCCTTCACAGGTTCCGCTGTTCTTGTTAACGGTCGCCATCTTCTCCTATCCAGGGCGTCGTCTGCCGTGGACTTCACTCCAATAAGGCCTTTCTTGATCACATTCCTCCACCTTTTCGTCGATGCTCCTCGAGTTCGCTTGCCCTCTGCTTCGAAGTGCAGCGCCTTCCTTATCGGGTGTTCCTCGGGGCTTCTCAGCACGTGCCCATATCGCCTGCTCTCGTGCCTTCAGCGGGTTTGAAGTTGTAGGTGTGACCGCTCTGACGTCTTCGTTTCTAGCTACATCTAGTCGTGTCCTGCCGCAGGTCCATCTCAGCTTCATCATTTCAGCTAAGCGGAGCTGTTTTTCATGGTTCTTGCATATGGGCCAGCACCGCTGCCGTAGAGCATCGCCGACCCCGCCACTGCCCGGCACGCGTTGCCTTTGAGGATCCCGGAGCATCGCCGATCGCAGAAGATACCGGTCGACTCTCCCCATCCAAGCCGCATTCACTCGAGGCTTTACTGCATGGTCCACGCCTCCATCAATAGCCAGATCGCTTTCCAGGTAGCGGAAGTTCACCAGACTCTCGAGGGAGTCTCCATGGCTATCTGGATGGGCTCTTGCACTCCATGGAGCTCAGCAACTCAGCCCTCTTGACGTTCAAGTAGGTCATTCTCGGCTAGTGCCTCCTGCTTTCATTAGCGGATGACAATAGTAGAATACAATACGATTATGACAGAGTACGATTAAGCCGTGGACAGACCGTAGTCAAGTGCACGGCTGGTCTGCCAGCCGTGCACTTGACTGCGGTCTGCACCCATGTGCACGAGTGTCGAACAAATTACTGAACGCTTTTGCAGCTGCGCTCCAGGCTGGCAAGATATTATTACGTCCTTCCACTAGCCTTATCCCACAGCAGTTCATAAACTTCAAATGCTATCAAAAATAACGAAGGTGAGAACCTGAAGAACGTAAAAAGTGGTCAAATGGCAACTCTTCAGTCTCTGGTAATGACTGATCTTTTCATTAAGGTTTCACACTTCGTTTTCCGCAACTGATAAAACAAATACAATAAAAATTAAGAACAACAAGCCACATTCCATAGGATTTGCATGCTCTACACCAATGTAAGGGGCAGGTACGTAACCATTTAATAGGTACGGATGGCGGATTTGTAAAAAATTCAAAATTGCACCAAGCGATATGCATCTCATTCCAAGGGACCACTTCAATCAGCCTTTTATTTCTAGCAAGCCCTTATTGCAGTCGCTTACCAGTGAAAACGAGGAAAACTGCTCTCCATCCATATCGAGTCAGTACAAAATCATTGATGGGTGAGAACACCATCGTACCCACTCCTGCTCCAGTAACCGCAATTCCTGTGGCTAAAGATCTTCGCCTAAACGATAGGGAAGTACGTTTTCACTGCAGCAAAAGAACTCGCCGTTGTTACTATAGCCAGAACATAAGCCCTCGTAAGAAATGCACAACCACTTCGAACACGTAAAACAAAATCTTTACATCCTTCGGATTTCCTATTCCTGGATCTATTGAAACATCATCAGCAACTACGCCCTGAACTACCCTTTGATAGCTAGATGGCATTACCAACAACAAAACTTGCCTTTCAAGTGATGGAGCGCTTTTTTTCGAAATTGCACATTGAAAAGGCACACATATGCGCTGCGGATGGTGGGAAATGTCAAGGTGGTGTGTTTGGCGTGGCGTCGGCCCATTCTCCATCAACTTATGAAGCGGACAAGGGGCAATAGTTCGTGGAAAACCGGCTGACGCCGAGCTGAACTCAATCTGATATACCCCGGCATCCGCAGCGATCAACACTGAACAAGAAGGACCAGATGTCACGCCCATTTTTTCGCATGCGCCTCTGAGAACGAGAATATGGAGAACGGGAATAAAATGGTATAAACCCTACGGTGACAAAATTTCGCATCGTACAAATTTTCCCTGAGATCTTTTTGTTGGGACCCTTCATCTTGAACCAAAACGCGTCCAAGAAACACCCAAAGCTTCTCTTCCAAGAATAAAAAGCTTTCTATCGCAAAATTTGCCCTGAAATCGCAGAACTTTTTTACACGGCTTGTTGGCATTCCTGGAAGCCTGCAAAAAAAGAAAAATAAAAACATTTCTGTGGTCTACGCATGTACAACTACAACCTGCAGCAAAGCGCTCCCTGAAAAAGAATTCTATGGCCTGAAAGAGCTCCGCCTCAATCGAAAAAAATCGAATCTTCGTTGTTACTGTTAGATTTTTTCGTTTGGGTTGTTGTCTACTGTGATATAACTTTACAATTTCAATGTAAGAAATGTTTCAATAATAATTTCCATAAAAAACCCCTACAAAATAAGGGATCACAAGATTGCGGTGCGGTGGATACTGCTTCTACTCCTAGTAATATTCTTGTAATATTGCATGAACTTACTTTTCAAAATACATGGTTACGCTGACAATCGCAGGACAGTACATGAAACCAGATCCAATACCCATAACAATTCCAACAGAAAGGATTATATGCCACATTTCTGTTGCGTAGTATGATAGAGTGCATCTGAATGAAAAAGGTTGCTCTCGAATCAGTCCCAGTATTCTGGGCACTATTCCTACTACTACCCCAAGCTTCCGAAAACAAAGGGTGCGTGCACTTAGATACCCGGGTGGGCGTGGCCACAGGGGCAAAGCTTCGAAATGGACCGGTGTTTCCCAAATTTGTGCCGCAATAGATATTAGACGGGAGCACCGTTTACAAGGTAAACGTTCCTGTTGTCTTCAAGGTGTGCTTAATGTTGATTTCATGATCATACGTAAGACCTGATAACCACTTTTTCGCCTCTGCCTGATGTATACCTTTGCAAAAAGCATACATTCCAATCTAAGTTAATTCTTCCTCTCGGAACTTCTTAGTTCAAGCAGTAGAAACACGCAGCTGTTTAATAAGGAGGAAATCATCGTCTCCAAACTCAGGAAGAAGCGCTGAAGCCTAATTATATCCGTCCACTTCAAGCCCTCGCCCTATTTTGGCCACGCCCACCGGGTATCGTAAGTCCACGCTGCGAAAACAAAGCCTTCTTTCAGAGGGCAGATTTGGCTGAAACTCGGTTATATCATCATGACATTATCATCATCATCATATAGCAAATGTCACATCCGAAAGTGCGCGGCGCCGCGCCACGGACGTCGACGCCAAGATACCCTAGATCACCAAATCCGCAGAGAAGTTGTATACGAGACTTATTTGACATCCTGATTACGAAGATGACATTCACTCTTGGCGCTGGCGCGATAAAGGCACGACGATCATCTGCGCTCTGCTGAGGGTGAGCCTGGCTTGGAGTAACTCCTTCCCATAGGCTCAGCCTTAGGAGAGCACTGAATGGACTGTTGTCGAAAAATGAACGCTATATTTTTGGGGGGACAAAAAACCCTTTTTTATCAATTTTGATGAAACAGGTGACGCCTAGTGGCACCAGGGCTGAAAATGAATGTAATGTCCGTGATCAGGGTAGTGAATAATCCAGTATGCTAGTTTACACCGATTTTGGCGAAACGTGGTGGCGCCAAATGGCACTAGCGTCAAAAACGAATATCATACTCGTGACCAGGATATCGAATTACCCTTACGGGCAAAGTTTCGCCAAAAAAGTTTTTTTGGTTTCTACGGTAGTGTTAGTTGAAAGTGTCAAATTCTAGAAATTCTTACCCGACGATAGAAATATTGGCTCCAATGATTGCTGTCGCCCGACAACCATACCTATTGCACACAGCTGATGCTAATGGTCCGCTTCCTAGTGTGAAACCGGTAAGAAGAGATACAATAAGAGCAATCACGGTGTTATCCGACTCGAACTCCTGGAAATATCTTTGAGCAAATTTCAAAGAAAGGACAAGCGGCATCATCATAAGTAACCAATTAGAATGTGAGACAGTTAAAACCCTAACTGTGAGAAAGTACAAACTTTCGAGAATCACCGCAAAGCCAAGGCTCAAAGAAATCCTTTTAGGTTCCTTCCCAAAATCTGCCTTTGATTGGTAGAAATAAAAACCCCACTGCCCGGCATTAATCAAAGGTAGGAAACGTGTTTCAAAGTTACCACTCGGATCGCTCGGTTGACGCCGAGCTCTATTCCTTCTCTTTAGCTTTAGCTTCACCGAGCTGGCCTGCCTTCAGCAGGCGCCATAATTTAAACGCAAGTTTTTCAATATACAGCGCTGTAGTGCTCGAATCGCAACACATAGGAGCAACGCTGCGGATCCTTCCTAAGCACATGCTTAATTTGCAGCAGGGTGTGTTTCGCGCCACAGTGCCCATACAATACATAAATCTGCAGATATAGATACAATGTGCATTCTGCCAATACAGAGCAATGTGAACCTCTCAGTAGAAGAACAAATTCCATTTCCATTAATTGCAATTCCATTAAATGCTTACCGATTAACCCTTCCCTTTTTTAATTACCATGCAACCCGCCTGCTGAAGTCCAAATAGTCGTGGGTATTACACTACCTTATTATTAGTTCTCATCAGTAAATGAAAGGTTAAAAAGTTACTGGACGCATAAATGGCCTCATTATTTAGGTTTTCGGTTCTCCTCGAATTTCCTGAGTTTCCTTTCACGCGAACTACATACCCCCCAGCCCCGTTCGTCGACATCGACATTATATAGAGTAGGATAGTGGGATGAGTTCATTTTTAGTGCCATCAGAGAAGTGATGGCTAAAGGAGAAGTTTGCACACTGTGCCTCCAATATATGAGTATAGTGATAGGAGATGTAATGATAATGGCCCCTTATCCTTTCTTATGAATTGGTAAGATTGCCTGTCACCCGACCCGTCATCAGTTCCCTCTCACTAAGGCTGTGTTTATACTTTGCGGCAGCGTAGCGTAGCGGTTCCAGCGTACGCCAGCGGCAGTGCCGAAGAGAGGATGCATATCGATCTAGCTTCACCAACGTCACCAGCGGCACGCTAGCGAGGGCACGGGAAGCATAGCTATCGATCTAGCTTCACCAGCGTTTCTCCAGCGTTTTCCCAGCGCTTCTCCACGTTTCCCAGTACAAAAGTACTCTCCTCCGTCCAGTGCTCTCTAGCCCCTCTCTAGCCCCGTCGCTGCAAGCGCTAGCGGGGCTAGAGAGCACTGAACGGAGGAGAGTACTTTGCACTCTCCTCCGTCCAGTGCTCTCTAGCCCCTCTCTAGCCCCGTCGCTGGAAGCGCTGGGAAAACGCTGGAGAAACGCTGGTGAAGCTAGATCGATGGCTATGCTTCCCGTGCCCTCGCTACGCCAGGGTGCCGCTGGTGACGCTGGTGAAGCTAGATCGATATGCATCCTCTCTTCGACACTGTCGCTGGCGTACGCTGGAAGCGCTACGCTGCGCTACGCTACGCTACGCTGCCGCAAAGTATAAACGCAGCCTAAAGCTCTATAATTTGGCAGTGTAAAGGCCCCCAACACCTTGACTGAACACCAATGGCAACGTTCCTTATCGGCCCATATCGGCTGTTATCACCTCCTGTCACCCGCCGTCTATGTTCTCATCTCCCACTATATAATTTTCTGGAACCAACGCCTATCTGATGCTATGTCCCGCGTTATGAGTATGTTGACTTTTTCCTTCTGAAGCCTCTTAACAGATCTTATCAACTGACATCACTCCCTGCCACCCACCAATCACGTTCCTGTCCCTCACCCTGTATCGTACCTGTTAACTAACCCCACTATTGGTGTGATCCGCCCTATGGATATGATGACCTCCCCTTCTAACGCGTCTTATCGGATCTTATCCACTGATATCACTTCCTGTCACCCACCAATAGCGTTCCCGTCACACCCCGTACATCACTCCTTGAAATCAATGTCTCGCTGCTACGACCGACGCTATGAATTTCGTGACACACAGACAGACGCACACACAAACACACCCACACGGACAGACACACTTAGCGAATTATATAGAGTGGGATTCTGTCGCTTCTAGAAGTTGTGGGAACAAATGAAAAATTCTCACACTTGCAGTTTGAAAACAACTCTGTAACCGAGTTCTAAAACATATTACTAAGGGTAAGTCTAGCAGCTTCCAATAAATCCGGAACTTCTCCAAAAGTTACGAGAAAGAAGTTGCCCTTCTGAATGCTTTGTAACTGGATTTGCACTATAGAAGTTATAGCCTTTGAAAGGTTGAAAACTCGCGCTCTCAAAAAATTTTCTTTGTCAAAACGGGAAAAGTCCTCGAGCGTGGATTTTCTTGAGTAGTGGTTTCTCCTGGTGCATTTGATGTCCTGGATTATGATCCGTAAGGTTGAAAACTCGCGCTCTCTTTGTTATTTGTGAGGCGAAGCCGAAACACCCCCTTAGTGACCACTTCAGAACCTGTCTGATAGGAGTTCCTCAGAGGTCACGATTCCCGTCTACAGCTTTGCAAATTGTTGCATTCGAAGAAAGCTACAACTTTTCGAGAGATCTTCGTGATGCAGTAGCCGTCGTGCAGGGTGCGCGCTCCAGCGCAACAACACCACATACGCAAAAACGTCGTTATAGTAGCCAAGTTTAGCCAAGCATTTGCGTAGAGGTGTGGGGGAGGGTGTCGTATTGACACCCTTTTTTATGGAGTTTCCTCATCGTGATGCCTGACCCTGTCCATGTGGGCAACAGAGGGGAGGGAGGGCATTTCGTCAATTCCTGTCAAGTTGACGGCCATTTTGTGAAACTGTAGGAATTCACGAAACAGTAAGAGCTACATTTCTGAGCTACTTCTTCATTTTCCTTATGTTGAGCAACATTTAGGGTTTGAAAATGAGAGGAAACGACTAAGCGATGTGGATGAGGACGGTTGCCCAAGCCGAGTGGGAAAACAAATTGCAGGATAGGTGAATTTACTTTGTCCAAAAGTGGTTTCCACATTTTGTGAAGGGCGGTTCATCAACTACGTGAGTCAGAATGCCCTCCAATCTTTCAGACCATTCTGCGACAATAATTAAGACACTACATATATCAGCTGCTTCATTTTCGATTTCCCTTCCTGCTCTATACTTTACGGCCGTACTAAAGGTGTGCACCAAGTGTGTCAACTGCAGATTCACCAGGATGCCAAATGTTCAGTCGCGACTTGAATGGCTTCGCAACCCTGTGATTAGCAATGGACTTCATGATCTTCATCATCGCTATTGTTAGCTTATCACTGAAGTTCATTCTTTCAGTAATTCCCTTTCCACTGCTAACCACGGAATCGCCACTATCCTACGATGACCCCGGTGTCGCGAACTATAAATGCTGCCCGCTGTTGGTTGGAAGCGCATTCTATCCTGACCGCTACTTGCGGAAGCTGCCAGATCCAGGACACGCCATTGCGTTGTGATAATTTCCTGAAAAATACGACCCCCCCCTAATTTCATCCTCAAATACGACCCCGCTCCCCATGCTAACTACCTACCACATTCCTAGATTTTCCCAAATTACTTTCCATTCTTTCCGAAAAATCCCTGGTTTTCCCCAAAACTTTGCTGTCGGGAGGTAGGGGAAGGAAGTCGTCAAGATTAAACTACAACAATCACTGAGCAGTTACGACCCCCCCCCCCCTCCTCCCTCGCGGTCAGATACGAACCCCGATCATTACAACTATGGCGTACTATGGCGTACCCTGCTCGGATCCCTTTGGATTTCCAAAGTTGTTGCAATAATTAACCAATTAAACCATTTACTCCCAAATATAATTTCGTCAAATAACTGAACAACTCATAGAAACGCGAACTAACCCTCATTAGTTCGTCGACGAGGACACCAAATGAATACACAAAGCCATCAGCGACGACATGTATGAAGAACGTACCCATCACCACTACCCAACCCCAACCGCCATCAGGTATAATCGGTACCAATCTAGTGCCTTTAAAAGGCGACGAAGCTGGCGCCATTCTGAAAATAAAACCATTTAGCTGAGATTATAGAACAAATGCCTTTGAATAAACAGCAGCAACGACAAAATAGCATTTATCGAACGCTCAGCAGATGAGCAAGAATGACGAAATAGCCGCCCCATGAGAAGCAAAAACGACCACAGGATACTGACACGAGCAGCTGAATTAACTCCATTAAGAGTGCAGTGACGTAATAAATGTGTTATCGCAACAGTGCAACCTCAGTTCCACTAACTGTCCCACGGAGTATTATGGCTGCAGTCGCTCAACTCTTGACTCGTTGAATGCATGGAAATAAAAAGGTGAATCTCTTCTTTCTATGGATTAATATCCATAAAGGAGATGGGATCGTGGTTGCAGTCTGTTTTATATCCTATTTGGCGCTGCCCGTCCTGAACAGGGCGTGCTCATAGACGTGGAGACCTGGTAACTCTGACGACGCTATGAAATGGCAATTAGCCCAGCTTTGTGAAGAATTTGAACCCTCGTGCTAGCACAGCCATGCATAATGAGGCTCATACCATTCCGTGATTTTGAAAAAGGCTGGACTGCGTTCATACTTCGCGACAGCGTCCGGCAGCGACCACCAGCGCACAGCAGCCTTTTCGCAGCCACTTTTGAACTCGAGAAAAACTGTCCGCCAGAGTGCTAGTGGATGCTGACGTTTGCTAGATCGAATCTATACTTCCCTGGTTGCTAGAGCTGGCGTACGCTCCGAACGCTGGTGGTCACGGTGGACGCTGACGCGAAGTTTGAACACATCCTTGCGGGTCCTACCATAGTGAAGAAACTGAAGTAAGTAGCAAAATAAAAAAAATGCTCCTTCTCCCCTAAAGTGAACACGAATAGTGCCCCTTCCGTGTCGCGGCGAAGCGACGAAACAGGCGGCAAGTGGTGTGTGCGGCATTAGCACCAGGACCCAGCCCACTCAACGTGACCGAGGTGCCGACTCTCTGAGCTGAATTC